GAGGTCCTCCCCTGGGGAAGCTCTGCACCAACACCAGCACCTAGTTCACCCTTCAGAGCAATTCCGGAACTTCTTATCTGGAATGGCTGTTATCAGACAAAGGTCTGATAATTAAGTTAAAAAACTTATAAGCAGCTATGTTGGCAGCACTATGCAAACAGCTTGGTAAGGTTTCATAACTCTGGAATATCAGTGTCTCACCGCTGTGTGCGTGGCGACGTGTGCAATCTTACTGAGTGGCGTTCATTATTGTGGCTTGCTTTTGTGTGCCATCCAAGGATAGCTCTGATGGCCATTCCAGAAAAAGAGTTCCAAAATTTCTTTGAAGGGTGGACTAGGCATTGTCATTGGTGTGTAGCTTCTGAAGGGGAGAACTTTGAAGGAGACTGTAGTGATTTTCAACAATGGGGTCATGTAGCACTTTTTCTGATAAGAGTTCTCAAGCTTAATTGTCATTGGTTGTACAACCAGAAAGCTGCCTTTCCCGGCAGAATGTTATAAAATCCGTGACTGAAAAACTTGCTTTAGCCACACCAGTCACAGACAAACTCCTTACACGTCTGCAAGCTCTAGGAAAGCAGCAGTGACGGCATACTTTGGCTCCATGCACTAGGCCTGCTTCCAAAAGGTCCTGGAGAATTGAGACAACAAAAACAGTGAGAAGAAGCAAAGGCCAGGCTGAGAAGCCAGGCTCTAGAACAAAACTCCCTGCTGCTTGTCAACCTGACACTAAAATCCTTTTCAAGTCTATGCAAATAAATGTCTTGAAGAGGGTACTGAAATTTTCATTTCTCTCTGCACGATTGGCTGTTCCCAAGATTCTTCTGCTAAAGTGAACGTCACTGCTGGAAGAATGGCAAGAAGAGGTCTTTCTAGAATCCCCAAGATTTCAGAAAAGTCTTATTCAACTGATGAACACGAGCGTCTATTCTAAAGTTCCCACCCCCTTAAAAAAAAAAAAAAGCAAAAAAAATCACATGAAGTGGCACATAGTCAGCCAGAATCACATAGCTATAAGCTAAGTGGCTTAGTGTTTCATGCTTTGGTTAACTCCACTGTTAAAATAAAGCATAAACATTTTGCTCTGCCTCCTCTGATGGGTCCTCATGAAAATCAAATGAGGTCATGGGACGCGGATGTGCCCTAAAGGGCAGAGCCTCCTGGAGCTGGCAGGGGGCAATCGGCCACAGGTGGGCTTTAGCTGTGCTACAAGTCCTCTGTCCCTGGACACCCTGCTTCGACCCATCAGCCTTAAATTCTCCATTTTAAAAGAGGGGATAATGGCCAGGCATGGTGGCTCACACCTGTAGTCCCAGATACTTGGGAGGCTAAGGCAGGAGGATCGCTTGAGCCCATGAGTTTAAGGTTGCTGTGAGTTTTGACACCATGGCACCCTACCGAGGGTGACAAAGTGAGACTCTGCCTCAAAATTGATTAATTAATTAATTAAAGAAGGCGGGTAATGACAGTGCCCAGGCTGACAGAGTTACTCTTGTGATGACCCCCAGGGCACAAAAACCATGCAATAGATGGGAGTTTCTGTTACTGGGGACTGGCAAAGATCAGAAAGTGATCGGCACATCGAGGAGTTCAAAGTATGTTTGATGAGTAACTGAGAAGCTCCTCCTATTTGACAGATCACAGCTTCCTGTGGCCAAGCTTGGCTCTCAGCCTTCTTGCACTGCTATCAGAAAAGCAAGCGAAGAACTTGTGTAAGTGAAATATGCCAGTCACAAAAGGACAAATCCTGTGTGATTCCACACATACGAGAACAGCCAGATTCACAGAAACAGAAAGTAAATAAGTAGTTGTCAGGGGCTGGGTGGAGGAGAAAAATGAAAAGTCAGTATTTAGGCTGGGTGCAGTGGCTCGCACCTGTGATCCCAGCACTCTGGGAACCCGAGGTGGGTGGATCACTTGAACTCAGGAGTTCCAGACCAGCCAGAGTAAGAATGAGACCCCGTCTCTACTAAGAATAGAAAAATTAGGTGGGTGTGGTGGTGGGTGCCTGTAGTCCCAGCTACTTGGGAGGCTGAGGCAGGAGGGCCACTTGAGCCCAGGAGTTTGAGGTTGCTGTGAGCTATGATGCCACAGCATTCTACACAGGGTGACAGAGTGAAACTCTGTCTCAAAAAATTTAAAAAAAAGAAAAAAAAAAAAAGAAAGCATTTGTAAGTACAGAGTTTCAGTTTTGTGAGATTAAAAAAAAAAACCTCTGGAGATCAATGCCAGTGATGGCTGCTCAGAGTGAATATACTTTTATGCCACTGATCTGTACCCTTAAAAATTGCTCAAGTGATAAATTTTAGGCTACATGTATTTTACCATGATTTTAAAAAAATTAATAAAAAAAAGTTGGCATTTGGGAAACATGAGGTTAGGCAGAGTGGCTGACATAAACAAGTAGTCATTAGAGCTGACCCTACTTCTCTTTTTTTTTTTGAGACAGAACCTCAAGTTGTTCCCCTGCGTAGAGTGCTGGAGCATCACAGCTCACAGCAACCTCCAATTCCTGGGCTCAAGCAAGTCTCCTGCCTCAGCCTCCCAAGTAGCTGGGACCACAGGCGCCTGCCACAACACCTAGCTATTTTTTTGGTGGCAGCCGTCATTGTTGTTTGGCAGGCCGGGCTGGATTCGAACCTGCCACCTTAGGTGTATGGGGCTGGCGCCTTAGCTGCTTGAGCCACAAGCGCCGAGCCCTGACCCCACTTCTCATGCTGGTTCTGGGCTAGTTGCTGGGTAGCACCCTGGCTGGAGGACACAGCGTGTAAAGAACAACGGGGAAGAATCCCCAAGGCACTTGCCAGTGCTGTGGTTTCCTGTGATAGCACCTCTGCTTCTTATTTTTAATATCTGCAAGAAATAATCCTGACTCAGAATTTATACTTCCTACTTATGACTGAGTTCCCCAAAATTAAATGAGGATGATGAGCAAGACCATATAAAACAAAGGTCAGTGAAGAAATGAGCCGTTATTTCCCCCTGTGAGGACAGAACAACCACCTGAATCTGCTTCTCCTTCCTGCAACTCTGTCTGGCCCAATCCCTGCAACACTCATGTTGCCAGTTTCTTGGGGAATTTGAAATGGGCTCCATCCCCAGGCCCAATGTCATGCTGTGCTAAGTAGAGAAAGAAGGGGGAAATATGCAGAAGTGACCAGTAATCTTAGCAGAATGGCCGAACTGAGCAAAAAGCTCAGGGGCTAAAGGTTAAGTTGAATTCCTCATCACTTACTGGCTGTGTGACCCTGAGCAAGCTCTTCCCTTCCAAATGGGAAGGTCCCTGAAGAGGTGACATCGAAGGTCCTATCTGGCCTGGTCCAACTGAGATTCCCTTCACACATCCTGCCACTTTTCTGATGATTTGTGCAAATAAACTAGATTCTGATCGGCCACTACCCCAAAGAAAATCTTTTTATCTGTTAGTCACACACACAAACGTGATGGGCGACAGAGTGAACAGATGCTTGTGACCACATCTTCTAACGGAAAGAAAAGCATCCAAGAAGACGTCGGTCAGGAAAGTTAAGTCAAGAATAATTCCATCAGGAATAATCCCTAGGACAGAGGAGAGACTGTCTGTGGTGGGGTGACATGGGTGACCCCGGACCCTTGGACTGTTCTCTGGTCAGACCCTGAGCTTCCCTGCAGCCCACTAACCTGCGTAGGAAGACACGGGGGAGATCTGCAGAGGGTAGAGCTCACTCATGCTGACCGGCTGCTCATCACTCTCCGTGGTCACCTCTACAACTTGGCAAATGTCCGGTGGGTTAGCGACAATCTCTGGATCTTCAATGTTGCTGTCAAGATGGGACGGTCCTACAACTTCAAAGAAAACAGAACCATCATGCAGCAAGTCTTCACAAGGATGTCACAGTTCTAGCACACACTTTCAAGAAAGCAAGGCTTCCCCAAATCAGCCAAGTCACCAAGACTCAGACCGTGGCCACCACCTGTCCCCTGTCATGGGGGCTGACGAACAAGCCTGGCCTGATGTCTCCAGCCTGCCTGCTAAGGGCATACACAGGGGGCTGCATCCCACCCAGCTAAGCAGAACTCCCCACTTGGCCAGGCCACAACTGAGGCTGTAGGACCAGAGGCTACACCCAGCCCCACCCTGGGACCACGGGTGGCAGTGCTATGTCCCACCACCAATTTCTGCTCTCTGCTCCTAGTCTGAAAGAAGGCACTGTGCTTGTTTTCTGAGTTCTGTGGTCCAAAGAGACACTGTCAAGCTTTAACAAGGAGAAAGACCACGAGCACCCCCCGTCGTGTCCCTTCTAGTTGCGGACTGCTCTGCTCACACTCCCAGCCTTCCTCCTGGGGGGAGTCGGCTCCCAATTTTCAGCAAACACTGGTTGCATAAACTCCCCAGAACACTGATGAGATGAATTCTGATCATTCTGGTTCTGAAAACTGTCTCAATTTTTCTTATTCAACTTTTTACTTTGAGACAATTACAAATTCACATACAGACAGAAGAATACAGAGAGATTCCGTGTGCCCTCTCCTCACCTTCTTCCAAAGGTGACATCTTTCAGAACTATAATACAGTGTCACAATCTGGATCCTGACATTAATAACTGCCCATGTTCAGACTGCTTCAGTTTTACTGAAACTCCATGGTGTATGCGTGTGTGCCCGCACACGAATGCCTGCTATTAGATCCATGAAATGTTATCATGTACGTAGTTCCGTGGACCTAACGAAACTACAAAATGCTGAACAGTTTCCATCTCCACACATCTCTCTTGTTACTCTTCCCTAACAACACCTACCTTTCTTCAATACCTCCCCCTTCTACCTCCTCATCCCTCACCCCTGGCAACCACTAGTATGGTCCTCATTTCTATAATTTTTGCCATTTCAAGGATGGCACAAAAGTCAGCCCATACAGAAAACTTTCAAGATTGGCTTTTTTTCTTTGGCATAACTCTCTGGAAAGTCACCCACATAGTTGTGTGTATCAATAATTGGTTCCCTTTGATAACTGCTGGGTACTATTCCATTATATATATTTACCACAGTCTATGTGACTGTTTCAGCCACTGAAGGACTCTTGGCTGAGCCTCATCTTTGGCTATTAGAAATAAGACTTCTGGCTCGGCACTGGTTACAGCACCAGCCACATGTACTGAGGCTAGCGGGTTCAAGCCTAGTCCAGGCCAGCTAAATTACAGTGACAACTGCAACAG